TAAAGAGTCTGTACTCCTCTGGCAGAAGACCTAAGTAAAATAGCTCATGACCACCTAAAATTTCAGTTCTAAGGATCCTATAGCCTCTTTTGTTCTCTCCATGCCCCCACACAGACACATATACATAAGCATATTTAAATCTTTAAAAATTGTACATTCTGAGGTTGAGAAGATGGTCATAAACTGCTTGATATGCAAACATGGTGACTAGAAGTTAAACCCTAGAAGCCATGCAAAACAAAAAACAAAAATGAACAAACAAACAAAAAACAAAAACAAAACAGACATGATGGCATGAGCTTGTACTCCCAGCACTCGGGAGACTAAAATAGGTGAATTCCCAGGACTTGCTAGCTAGCCTGCCTAGCTCTGTCTCAAAAGCAACTCAAAAAAACAAGGTAAATGTTGTCTGAGGAATTATAGAGGAATTTTAATTCAGCAACATGGCTGCTCTGGCAAGGGATTACATCCAAAGATCTTATCCAAATGGAGTACAGACATGCCCTTAATTACAATATGATCTGGCTGAAATATGGACATACCTTTAATATATATGTTTAATCCCTAATAATGAAGGTAAGGGTTAGTTTGTAGAAGAAAGCAGCCATGTTTGAAAGTGACATCTAATTGAGGAGCAGACAAAGTGATGAGTCAAAGATAGATTTGACAGAATGAGTCAAAGATAGGATTCACCCAACTCTCAGGAGAACTTCAAAGCATTGAGAGACAAAAAGATGATATGGTGTGTGGTGAGTGTGTATGACAGTTCTACCCAGACAGTTTTATGGACTGGTGGCAGAGAGAACAAGCTAGACACAGGTGAAGACAGAATGAGCCAGAAGATTGGGACATATTGCCAAAGTCAGTATGAGGCCAAGCAGAGCAATTCAGTGAGAAGCTGAGAGAAGCTGGATTGAATCAGTCAGCTTGGAAGATAAGATTATACAGAGGGTAGAACCTTCCAGGCCTGGGCCTGGGATAGTTAAAACAGAAAAAAATGCTCTGGGTTCAGCCCAGACAATGTATTTACACAGCTTGGGTATTGCTGGCTCGCATCTCATCACTTCATCTAAGGAAATAAAGGAAACATTTATAAAGAATGATATCCCAAGCTAACCTTGAGTTTCCATATAAACACACAGAGAGGCACATTTAGCCTCCATCATATGCATACACATTATATGCACATACATACGAGAGAGAGAGAGAGAGAGAGAGAGAGAGAGAGAGAGAGAGAGAGAG